CCTCCCCTACGTTGCAGTTGTAAACAATTGCTGAGGTGATGGTGGGGCAGTCAGCTGTTTTTGTTTCCTTTTTATGTGACTGTCACAGTGACAATTCACATGGGAAATATTCATGCTGTGTAGGTGGCATTGTACCACGGTACTGATAAGACTATGTCTGTGTGATAGGCTTTGTCAGTCTTATCAACAAAACTTGTGGGCAACTCAATTAATCACAGTGCCAGAATGTGACAAGCAATTGATGTAGAGTCTAGTGCGTGAATGCCAGTCAAATGGTATCTTGGGTTTTGGCTATGCTGGATATGGCAGCTTAGAATATTAATTTTTGAAAGGATTCGTTACCACTACTCATGGGTCATTGCCCCCAATCACCCACTACATTCTTTAATACATTATTTGTTACTTTTTCATTATACCAGCACATTCGAAATGGGAATTCTTAGTCAAATGCTCCTTGGTTGTTACTGTTTTAGAGGCAAAAATCATATGAGTAGTTGAGCAAAAGAAACTTTATAACAGGGCTGGGTGACATGTAGATCCCATACTACGTAAAATCCACCATTGGTGTTTGTATTGTTTCTACATGTATTTGGCAGATCCCCTTCTCCCACCCAGATCTACCCGAATTACTCGGCATAGCCAGGAGGGATGGTTGAGGGGCCTAACGCCAAGAGAGGCCCAGAAAGAAAGAACAAGAAACCGGGTCTTCTCAGCAGTGGCCCCTCGACTATGGAACAGCCTTCCATCAGAGATCTGCTTGGCTCCCTCGCTAGGTGTTTTTAAGAGCCCTTTAAAACCTTGGCTCTTCAGGCAGGCCTTCCCTCCTGTCAATCCTTGAATTCTATCTTTCTCTTCTTTCATTCCCCATCTTGACCATATTATATTATTGTTTAAATGTTTTTATGATTATGAATGTTGTTTATTCCGATGGTGATGTTTTATTATGATATGATATTTTATGATTTTGTAAGCCGCCCCAAGTAGACGCTGTCTAGGGGGGTGGGGTATAAATAAATAAATAAATAAATAAATAAATAAATAAATAA